TAATGATACAAACGCAATGGAAAAAATATTTACACGAATGAAGTCAGAAGGATTTGATGCTAATCTTGCTATCTATAATTTACTCACGAGAGGATATTCTCGTTCGTACAATGTCCAAAAAGCTTTTGAAGTATGTCGGACCATGTTGGATGCGGGAATCGAGCCGAATGAATTCACCTATAATGCATTGATTTCACTTTTTGCCGAAAAATCAGATCCAATTGGTGCAACGATGTTATTTAATGAAATGAAAAAATTTAATTTACCATCGAATGTTTTTACTTACACGTCTTTGGTTAAAGCTCATGCATGGACATCTGATATACGTGGCGCCGAGAAAATTATGCGAAATATGAGAATTGCTGGCGTTGAACCAAATGCCCCAACTTATAATATTATAATGAATGCATATTCAAAAAACAGAGATTTTGAGACTTGTCAACTAATATTTCAAGAAATGATTCGATTGAATGTACAACCGAATAATCACACTTACAGTTGTCTAATGGAAGGATTCTGTCGACTCGGAAATATGCAAGTTGCGGAATCAATTTTAACAAAACTTAAAACTACAACTGACACCAAACCCGATGTTTTTCACTATACGGTGCTGATGAATGCTCATGTTAAGCATAAGAATCTCCTGAGGACATTTGAGCTTTACGAGGAAATGATTAAAGAAAAAAATTGAGCCTACCTATGTCACTTATGCTATATTAATTAATGGGCATGCACGAATGGGAAATATCGAATTCGCGCGTAAACTGTTATCAGAATTAATTGAGCAATCAAAGAGGACTGTCAAATTCGAAGATATCGAATGGCAAAACAAATTACCTGCGCAAGCATTTACACCACTGATGGATGCCTATGGAAAACTAGGACAGTCTGAAGAGGCCAAAGAAGTTTTTGTTGAAATGCTTTCGCACGGAGTTCAACCCGAGGGATACGCATATACTATTTTAATGGATGCATATCGATATGGCGGTGATTATCAAGCTGTTTGGCAAGTATGGCAAATTCTACGTCAAGCGCCAGAAATTGGTTATCTAGATATTGCAGAATCAAAATCGAATTTAAGAAATTTGAAAATTAAATTAAAAGCGCTAGAAGAATCAAATAAGAGACTCATAGAAGGATCTGAAGAACTTGAAGCTTTACCACAGCAACATCCACCTAGACCACCTCATCATGCATTATCAATTCTAATAGACGTTTTGATTACGACACAAAGATTTGATATTGTAGAGAAAGAATGGCAGAAGCTCAAATCTGAAGGTTTTCCATTTGACTCGGACAATCTAAATGCATATTCACGAGCATTAATATATTCCGGGAGAATTATAGAAGCATGTGAGGTAATAAAACGACGATTAATACGAGGATGGAATTCACAACTAGCATTTTGGCGCCTGGATACTAAAAGTTCAAAGGAAGAACTTAAATCTCAAAAACATGAATTATTACGGAGAAAACCAAATCAATTCTATCCACAGAAAAAAACGCTCATGTTGCTTCAGAAAGTATTTGAACAGTTAAGATCAGAAAAATTGTTAATAGTTAATAATATGCTAAAAGAGAATACTAGAAGTAAATTATTACCCATCGCAGCGAAGATTCTAACAATGGACGATATTATGAAGATTTATCCAGATATAGTAGCTGCTACTGACGCAATAAGCCAAGCAGAGAGATATTCTCAAGCACATAGAGAACAGGAAAGATATCAAGTATATTAAGTCATCAAATATTTATATGAATAATGAATATATGATATTTGTGTATTTGTTATCAAATAAATGTATTCTAAAATGAGCATTGATGACAATCAGATTTTGAAGCAATTTTTGTTATTAAAGTTGAACCTCGATATAACGAAGAGGGTTGAGTTGTTAGTCCCAAATTTTTCAAAATTCGTTATATTAAGGTGTTATTTATAATTTCATTATATCAAGGATACTTATATTATATCAAAAGATTAAGTATCTAATCTAACAAATATAATAAATATACATACTGATAGTTTATAAGAATTCTTTGAATATTACAAAATAAAAATATTTAGCTAAGTTTGGCTTTTTTAAAATAAAGGAGCTGAAAATAAATTTCGCGAATTTATTATGTGTTCGTTATATCAAGATTCGTTATATCGAAATTCAACTGTATATACTGTAAATAAGCCTTCTACATATGAAATTCTTATACCCAATAACAATCATAAGTCTCTTTCCATTAAAGATGTTTAAGACCACAATATTGATTGATATCGCATTATCTGGAAGAGAAAAAGCTTTTGGGAGAAAAAAGTGCGAAATCAAAATACTCATTTTACGAATCTTACATATTGAATATGTAGTTGCAAAGCATACAAGTTAAAAGATTGGGAATTTTATCCATTTATAGTTTTTTTTTGATTTTTAAATTCTAATGTTGAATAATGAATGATAGAATCGTTTTTTTTGGAATGAAACGATATTTAGTTAAAACAATAAAAGATTGGACAAATTCTTGTCGCAGAAAGTTTCGAAACTATAAAGAAATTAGCGAACGAATACAATACGTACAGTCGGGTCATCAAACAATCCAGATCTTTAATCCAATTGAAAACCTATAGGAGTTAGTTAACCAAAAAATTTGAATGATTGGGAGAAGTTTATAAGTGATGAGTGGAAATTAATTCTAGATGAAGTTATAAATAATTTGGTTATGTCAATAAGAGCAAGATGTGAAGAGATTATTAAAGTAAGAGAAAATTTTAATTTTATATAATTTAAAACTTGCATTATTATATTTGCATGAACAGTTTGCATTACAGCTTCTGAATAGATAAGCAAATCAATAATGAAATTATGCTAGAATATTAATGAGATGAAATGAAAAAATAAAACTTATAATGTCTGTTAATTAATAATTTGAATTAGCAAATTTTAATATTTCAGGATAATTTACCTATAAATAATCAACATACAAAAATAGCAGAATTATCTTCAAATTTTTATAAATATTCTGATAAAGATTCAGAAAAATTTATCAATTCTTAAAAAGTATATCTTGTAACTATTAGAATTAATATGAATATTAAATATATTAATATACTTTAGTTTTGATTTAAAAATAAATAGTAATATAACTTAATATAAATTTAAGATATAATACTATAGATCAGATTAGAAATATTATTATTTTAGCTTATATAGTATTTAATAAAAACTAATCTTTTACTAATAATTATTTAACTAATTATATAATAAATTTATCAAATACTAATATTAATTAATTTGTAATAGCAAATAGAATTTGACTTAAATAGATAATATATTGGCTCAAGATCAATTATCTTATAATTATCATAAAGAAATAATAAATAATTTTTTGAATTAGTAGTTTAAAATAGTAATTTAATTAGTTATTTCTATTTTAAGCTATATAAACTTATTAAATTTACTAGTATTGAGGAATAATAAATTTGATTATAATTTTTTTATGATATTTTTTCTAATAATTAATTAGAAATTTAATTTAATATTAATAATTTAATTAGTTATTTTTCTTTTAAATTATATAAACTTATTAAACTTACTAATATTGATAAATAATAAATTTGATTATAATTTTTTTATAATATTTTTTCTAATAATTAATTAGAAATTTGATATATTAAAATTAATAGATTTATATTTAAATTACTTATAAAACTTAAAAAAATTAAAAAATATAAGATCAAATAATTATTTAAAACTTATTTATATTAATTTTAGATTTAATATTATTCAGTAAAACTTATAAAAAAGATAATTAAAAAATAAAATAAAAAGTCTAATAAAATTAATAGTCTTTATAAAATCTACTTCTTTCAAGTCTTGAGAAGAATAATTTAATCAAATTATATTTTTATAAGATAGTCAATTAAAAGAAATTATTGCTAAAAAAAATTTGATTTATTAAGAAAATCTGATTCTAAAAATTAAAAAGCAGATAATTTTATCATAAATTATTTTTTAGATAATTTTATAAATAATACTAATTTATTTGAAGAAAAATATAACTATAATTTAATTAAAGATTTAAGATTATAATTTGAGTAATTAAAAATTAATTAGATAAGAATAACTTAAGTAATATATACTATTTTAAAAGTATTTTAATATAAATACTTAAATTATTATAAAATTAGATATAATTTTTATAATTATCATATTTACTTTAAAATAAGTATAAGTTTTTAAGATATATTTTAAATTTTAATTTAAAATTATACTTATTTTTAGATATACAGAAAGTATTATTTGATTTATATATAAAACTATTTTTTAAAAATATATTTATTAAGTTTTCTTTCTTTTTTGATAATAAATATTATTTTATTTTTTATTACTTTATCAATATTATAATTTTGTTAAATCAAAAAATAATATTTACTTATATATAATTTAATAAAATTAAAAAAAATAACTTTGATATATACAAATATCATAAATGTTACTTAAATTACAAAAATATTTAGATACAATTCTATAATAATATATTATTTTCTAAATAAATATAAATAAATTAGAAAAGTAAAATTTATTATATTTAGAAAGATTATTAATCTTAAATAATTATAAAAAGAATTTATTTTTATATGAAACTAGTAAAAAATATTATATATCACTATATAAAATAATTAATAATTTAGATCTTACTTATAGTTTATTAATTATTATAAATATATTATATAACTCTAGACTTTATTTATATATTATAATAAAAAAATCTTATATCTCAGAAATATATATATATACTTATATTAAATAGTATAAAAAAAATAAAAATAAATTAATCTATTAATAATTTAGCTATTAATTCTAATATTAATTAATAAATTATAATATATACTTATTTTTAAATATATTTATTTTTAAAAAATTTATATTAAAAACTAAAGATTATTTATATTTATTTTTGAAAATACTTATTTTTAAATGAATATAATATTTTAAAAATAAAAAAAAGAGTAAATCTAATTATTTTATAATTATTTTTAACAAGAGTAAATTAAAAAAAAGAAGTAAAATAAATATTATACTATAAATTCAGATTCAAATATTAATTTTTCTAATAATAAATCTAATTTTAATTTTAATAATAAATTTAATTCTGATTTTAATAATAAATTTATTTTTAATTTTAAAAATAATTTATCTAAAATTAAAATTATAAAAATTATTAATATTATTAAAGTAAAAAAATAAATAAAATTTAAATTTAAAAAATTCAAAATCAAAAAGAAATTCAAATTAAAATAAAAAAATATATTCATTTTTAATAAATCTCAAAATAAATTAACTATTTTTAAATAGAAAATTTAGTAAATTTTATTAAATATACTTAAAAAGATTTTAATTTTATATTAATTAAAGAAACTTAAATATAAAAATAAAAAATTAATTATTTTAAATTTTATAAATTATCAAAATTCAATTTTAATAATTTTCAAGATTTTTAAGTTAGATGAGAAAAAAAAGATATTAAATGATTTTATAAAATTAATCTTATTAAAAAGAAAGAATTTATAAGTCTTGTAATTATTAAATATAAAATAAAGTTCTTATAATAATACTTGAAAATAAAATATTAGAAGATATTATTAAATATATAAATAAGAAAATAAATAGATAAAAAAAATATAATCTTAATAATTTTATTACTATTCTAATAGAATCTATTAATATTATTTATAATTTTTTAATAATATTCTCTCTAAATTTTATTATATATAAAAATTTTATAATTATAAACTAATATTAATATTTTTGAATTTATTTCTCAAGAAATATAAATATAAAATAAATTAAAATAATAATAAAATAAAGATTTTAATAATAAAAAATTTATTATTCAAATAATTATATATAAAGTTAAAAATAAGCTTAAAATAAATTATATAATTATATTTTAGAATAATAAGTTTTTAATATTTAATTAAATTTTATAAAAAATAGATAATAATAAAAATAATAATAATATATTATTAAAAAAATATATAAATTATAAGAAGTTAAAAAAATTATTATATACTATTCTTAAATCTAAGACTAAAATAAATAATCTTTATAAAAAGTTACAAATATATTATAAAAAATTATTCTTATAAAATAAAAATATTTCTATATCTAAATATATCTTTTTCAAAAATAATAGTAATAATAAATAAAAGATAAATTAAATAGCTAATAAATGAATTATATTTACTTTATTTTTCTTATCTTTTTTGAATTCTTATTTATATAATATATTAAGATTCTTATTATTTATTTTTTTATTTTACTAAATATTATATTAAAATTATTAATAGATATTAAATTAAATATATAAATAAATTTAATTCTAGATTTAAAACTTCTTTATTTTATTTTTTTATTAGAAAGAATAATAAATTTTAAATACAGATTTAAAAAATTATAATTTATAATTTATTTTTTAAACTTATTCTATAATAAAATTTTATTTTTAATCTAATTAAAATATTTAAATAAGATTATTAATATAAATAATATTTTATATTATTTATTATTATTATTCTTAATTTTCTTATATATTATTTACTTAATATTTATTAATATAAAAATCTCTTATTATTTTATACTTAAATATCTTATCTTTAAATAATCTAATAATTTTTATTTATTTAGAAATTAAATATATAAAATCTTAGTAATAATATAATTTTAGATATAAAATATTTATGATTTAATTT